GGTGTTAGGCGGGGCAGGTGTCCTCTCCAGCTCATCTCTGCTTCCAGAAACAAGTGTGCGACGACATCGGGCGGCGGCTGATGGTGCTGGAGGATGCCTGGGCTCAGGGCAAGCTGTCCGCCCCGGTGAGGAAGAGGATGAACCTCCTGGTGCAAGGTGAGGAGGGGCCTAGCCTGCAGGCCATCAGGCAGCCCCAGGGAGGCTGACTCCCCCCTCCACTGACAGGGTCCTCCTTTCCTGGCAGAGCTCCAGCAACAGCACTGGGATGCAGCTGATGAGATCCACCGCTCACTCATGGTGGACCACATTAACGAGGTGAGCCAGTGGCTGGTGGGTGTCAAGCGCCTGATCGCTGAGACAAGGAGCTTGCCTGCTGCAGAGCCGGCTGTGGTGACAGATGATAGCACCAGCGCTGAGCCTGGCCAGGAAGATCCCTGATGCCAGGGACAGGGGTGCAGACTGCAAGCAGGGGAGCCCCAGCCCAGGGCCACCGTCAGGAGAAGAGTCCCCATCACCCAGCGGGGTGTGGGTACCTCCCAGTCCTCACCCAGGAAAAGGGGATTTTAATCATTGTGACATTTTGATGGTGATTCACTACATGATGTTTAATAAACAGCACTAATCTGCCCCTGGCCCCAGCCTGTCCTGGGGTTCTGGCACCAGGCACGTCCCAGTCCTCTCCCAGGAGCAGCAGGAGACGCGAGTTCCCTACAGCTATCCAACTGGCTGCTTTGGGCTTGGCCAAGGGGCTCTGGCCTGGCAGGGTGTTTCCAGCCCACAAGACATGAAGAGAAGGAATGGCCCTGGCAGCACCCCCAGTGTCACCCAGGTGGAGTGGGCAGCAATGTGTTTCCCTGCTGCAGGGGTTGGCAAAGCCTGGCTCCCCCTTTCCGCCCTCTGGCCTTGCCTTGGCAGTGGGAGGGACCTACAGCAGCAGGCACATGGCCCAGCTCTGCTGCAGGAAGAGACAGCCCTCAGCGCTCCAGGCTGGCTGGGGAGGCTGACCTGCTGCCAGCCCAGAGCTGTGCCATGCCACGGTCTGTGCCGCAGCTACAGCCCGTGCTCCCAACTGGGCTGCTGCCTGTCCTGGCACAGCTCAGAAGCAAGTTTGGGACCCAAAAGACCCAGTTTGGGACCCAGGGACAGGGAGATCCAGGGAGAAACACGCTGGTGCCAGTGATGCCTGCCAGGTCAGGTAAGCCAAAGACATTGACATTTACCCTGGACAGCAGGCAAGAGTGCACTGTGCTGCTCCCTCCTGCACTCGCAAGACACTTCACCAGCTGCCCCCACCACAGCTGGGGCAGGCTGCATGTCGCACCCCCAGCCTGGGAGTAGACCCTGAGGTCCTGCATTCACCACCTGCAGCCCACAGGGTCTTGGTGCAGGAGGGAGAGATCTCCACAGCCTCAAAGTGCTCCTGGTGCTGCCTGGCTCCTCTTAGCACATCTCCCTGGGGCTCCAAGGACCCAGCGGAGTCGCAACAGAGATGCACCAGGTCAGCACAGGGGTTTCATGGTGTTTTTATTGATCAAGCATGAGCTCCTAGGCAATTGCACCAGCCAGTTGTGCTAGAGCCTGAGGTGTCACACGTCCATCCCCAGCATCAGAGAGGGCTGCAGCCAGCTGGTCATGGTGCCAGCACCTCCACGAGGCCCAGGAACAGGCCCAGCCATGGCCTGGAGACAGGGAGCTGGAAACTCAGATGTCCATCTCAAACTGGTCTTGATCTGCAAGGGTACAGAGGGATACAGGGCCAGGGTTAGGATGGGGCTGCCCTGGGAGAATCATGCAGGCAAAGGGGGCAGGAGCTAGAACTGGGGCTGAGCTGGGATCTCCCCCTGTCACAGGCAGTGCATAGGCAGGAGCTGCACACTGGGGCTGCTCACCTGGCATGGCTTCTTCACTCTCATTCTGCTCCTTGAGCTCCTCCAGCTTGACGAGGCTGGACTGGGCCAGGGATGTGACACCGGGGGTCTGGGGCAGGCAGCAGGGAGGCATCCTGACCACGGGTGAATTCTTGCACTCCAGCAGGAACTTGCGGTCGTAGGTGATGCGGGTACCTGCCAAAAGCAGGGTGCTGTCAGGCACTGCTGGCCCCTGGCCACCCCCATCTCCGAGCACCATGGCCTGAGCCTGGAGTAGGGGGTGGGGCCCAGTGCTTGGCCACAGCTCAGGGGCATGGCTGGCTCTGGAGCCACTGTGGGGCTTCCCACATGGGAGACTTCCTGCCCAGAAGCTCTTCCCCACATTGTTCCTCCCCTTGAGGCTCCTGGAGCTCTGCCAAGGCACAGCGCAGGGGGTCCAGTCTTGATGTGGATGCCCCATGGCAGTTGATGCCACAGCTGCCCCTGTGCTGCCTGCGGCAGGGCCACAGCCCTGGGGCACTCGGCACAAGTCCAACAGCCAGGCAGGTCCCCAGCGCCCCCTGCCCAGAGGTGGCTGGCTTGGGGGTGCTTCCCTGCAGCTATCCAATAGCAAACGCTGGGTACCCCCCTGCTGGGACCCCTGGGAGC